GGGGCTGAAGTTCCAATGGTCTCAATGTTGCTTGTAGAAGTACAGTCTTAAGTTCAAGACCCAGGCAACAGTCAGTCAAAGCCTCTAAAACTCTTGAGTAGAGAGAAAGTACTTCCCTACTAGCCTTCTTGGAGAAGTATGACTTCCCATATTCTTCAAGATCCTCTTTTCTAACCAGACAGCTGGGCTCTGCCAAGATCTGGGGTCATCACCACCTGTTCAACAAACCTACAGTTGAGTGTCTGAGAAGAACTTGACCTTTCAAGGAAGAAAAGGGTATAGAAGAGATTGAAAAGACTCTTGTAAGAAGATGCTTCATCCTTTTTGAGTTCCTTCGACCTTAGAGAATATACTCAGAGAAGCAACTGAAGTTAGAGAAATGAGAAAGGTAATAAGCTGTCCTGAAGAAAGCCAATATCTGATAGCCTGCTTGCTATAGATATTTACCTATTCAATACAATGTTCCTAGAATATCCCCCTTTTGCTTATGATTGACAGGAAAATCAGGCTATGGTACTGAAAGGCAATCTCCTTCCTCCCAATTGCATCAGGGGAAAATCCAAGGTTGTTGACGCATTACATGGTTTAGAAAGAGGAAGAAAAGCCCTCACCCTTTCTACCCATCACAGTTTGAAATGACAGCTGGAAGGAGCAAATGTGTGACAGTCAGACTCTCCTCTTGAGGCTCCTGTCGGACTGCCTGAAAGGGATCCCTCAAGGCTGCCCAGGACAACTGAGGTTTAAAGGGCTGAGTGACCCACACCTGCCAGTGGGAAACACTTGCACCCAGAACCTGGTACTGGCTGGAGGGAGAAGCAGCAACCTGGCCTGGGAGGAAAGAAGGGTGCAAGACGCATAGTCAGCATTGTGAGCTCTCATTAGGCAACATAATGTTCTGTATCTGAGGACATGGGAGGAAGCATGTACATCATATCACTGCTACCTGTAAATAAATGGGGAAGGATTGAGAAAAAGGCTCAACAACTGATGTTGTAGTGCTCCAAAATATACAGTACAGGCTGGTTACATGAGTGCTGCTCCGTCTCTATAAGAGAAGGGTTAGCAATGTTGGAACCTATAGGGTGGTCATAAGAGGGACATCCACCTGTCTCCAGAGTACCGTTGCTCAAGAAGAAATAAAAAGATTAGGAGGACCAGAGGCATCATATAGTGCCTTCACAGATATGAGGCATGCAGCAGCTTCCCCTGAATGGGCTGGACTCACCATATATACTGCACTGGATGCTAAAGCGAAAATCAGCAAAAAGTTCCAATTTATTATTGCTTCCTTGAGCCTTTCATTTAAGGGTGGAAGGAGTCTCCAAGTTTAGGTCTCCTTCCAATGTTCTCAAAGGGAAGTGAGAAAGGAGTATCACTATCACAAAGACAGGAGACTTCCATCTATTGCTGTGAACTCGTAACTGTAAGTGGTGTAACATAACTGTAAGTGAAAACAGTAGTAAAACACAGTAGACCAAATATACTAAAATGAGAACAAGACTGTAAAAAGATGGTGCAAGAGGAACTCCATACTTGTGTTCATACCACCAAACTTTCTTTGGTGGTAGCAATGCACTGTTTTTTTGGACTTAGTTATTGCCTGATGATTTTGGGGTATCCAGTAGCTGCAGTTCAGCTTGGCTGTCTTGATACCTTTTTATCCATTTCAGATCTGCCAACACTGGCAGACATGCTGTTAAAATACCGAAAGAGGGAAATAGTTTGCAATCAGAAGATTTCTCTTTAAAATGTTATCAAACAATTCCAGACAACGCCAGAAATTCTGGAAGCACATATGATGTAGCATAGGCAATACAGTACTCACTGTTATAAGAATCAGTATTTATTATTTTTTTCTCAGTATTGAAGCTACTTACACTTCAGTTTAATGATGATAAACAAAGTACTGACTGATATTTCTCATGCGTACTATCGCAATATTTAATTCAAAATCATACAGGGAATAAATGTTTAAAATTGAGGAGGAAGAAATCAATACTGTGTATGTCCCAACACACTGCCTTAACCACAAGAGTAGCCTACCTCATTAAAATAAGAGTTACTACTTTATGTTCTATATTACACTGTTTTCTGCAGGGATACTAATAAAATGGTGATCTGTGATCTAAAACAGTATTTTGACAGATCCTTAAGATTCACTAGCAGTAGAAATTCCGTATTAATTACATATGTATATAGCTCCATCTTGTGGGAACAACAACAAATCAACCCTCTTCAGCACACTAGTGAAGAAACTCCTGAGACAGAACTGCTTACCATTATAGAAATAAATCATCACAGTATTTAAAAGAAATTCACACTTTGTATCACAACTCTCTGATCTAGGTGTGAAATAAGACGACAAACAAGTTTACTAACTCTCTTAAGACACCGTACTCTTAGGACATTACAGACATGCTATTTCAGAGGCTTCCGAAGGAAGTCTGTCCTAAAGCACTGGTCTTTTTGAAAGTGTACATCGAGAGCGCCACGCCATCTCTGGCCAAGGACAGAAGTTAGGCTTTTTCTCAAAACTGCAAACGCAACTGAGGTGATGCACACCTGATTTACCCACTATGGAACATGACACATAGTACAGCATGGTTCACTCCTGTTACTGAAGCTTCTTTTCCATACATACGTTTCAAAAATTACCTACATGTATCTAAACAAAGTAATTGCCACCTTTGAATAATTATCTGAAGGCGTACATTTCAACAGATTATGGCACTGCAAGCAATCCTGATAACAATTCTGCACTTTTGAGTTAAACTATCAGGCAGACAAATAACCATATTGCAGTACCTTGGAGAGAAACATGGAATCCTGAAAGCATCCTATAGCAAATTCTTTTAAATTACAAGACAAAATTAACAGACTTTACAACACACACATGCACACACACACGGAGATTTCTGTTGGGAAGAGAGCAAGGTAGTGGTAACCCTTCCAGATGCATTTCTTCAGGAGACTACTACTACATGCAACTATGCCTACCCTAAAAATCTGTCTCACTTTAAGTCGTTTCACAGATGTCAGTGGGAAGTGTCATAAAAAGGGGCAAACACACCTAGGCTATCAAGAAAACTTTTACATGTGTAATATATAGTTCTTTCATTTTGTTTACATTATACACTTCTGAATGAAGAACCCCAAGGATCCTCTTCAGCTTTATGGGCCCTATATTGGGTTCGCATGGCAAGGTTTCGGTAGCAGGGGGGCTACAGGGGTGGCTTCTGTGAGAACCTGCTAGAAGCTTACCCTAGACAGAGCCAATGCCAGCCGGCTCCAAGACGGACCCACCGCTGGCCAACCGCTGGCCAGGGCCAAGCCGCCAATCAGCAGCAGTGGTAGCACCTCCGGGATAACATATTTAAGAAACGGAGCCGGGGGGGAAACCAAACTGCACGACTGCAGCTGGAGAGAAGAGTGAGAACTTAGGAGAGGAGCAACTCTGCAGACACCAAGGTCAGTGAAGAAGGAGGGGAGGAGGTGCTCCAGGCACCGGAGCAGAGATTCCCCTGCAGCCCGCGGTGAAGACCCTGGGGAGGCAGCTGTGCCCCTGCAGCTCATGGAGGTATCCACCTCCAGATATCCACCTGCAGCCCGGGGAGGACCCCATGCCAGAGCATGTGGATGTGCCTGAAGGAGGCTGTGATCCCGTGGGAAGCCCATGCTGGAGCAGGCTCCTGGCAGGACCTGTGGCTCCATGGAGAGAGGAGCCCACGCTGGAGCAGGTTTGCTGGCAGGACTTGTGA